CGAGCACTTCAACTATCAATAACACTACCACAACTGATAATGCTACTGTTAATACCATTAGTACTAATTTAGTAGGACTAATACCACTACAACTACGACTACTATTGTTAATACTGCTACTGCTACTGGTACTACTTGTAATATTGCTTCTGAAAGCAACACGAATACAGCTACTAATTAAACTACTACTAACACTGATATCTATACGTCAACCGACCTCGGTAGATGATCGAATCGACTGTTTGCTATGCGAGATTGGCAACCTATGAATTGGGTGAGTTCGTCAAAGGTTGCCTCTCTGTTCCTTTTCTCGATTCAGTCTGCCTCGGTCGCCCAGGCTGTCCGCATTTCGGCCGGCAAACAATCGATTCCAGCGTGCGATGTACAGATAGAGCCAAAGAGTCACTCAGGTTCTCTGACCACGCAGAATTCAAATGTGTTGGGCATCGAATTAACAAATAAAGAATAATGTATAGTGTTTGTGATTGAGAAACGTCAATAGAGAAGCAACACAGATAGAGTTATGTCACCCTGAATCGTCATGGGTTTGGAAGGATTTTCAAAAATCCAACATGACAAATACTATTACCATTCATCTTGAAGTCTTGAAGTGGCTCTCGGGTTCGAGGTTGGCGCCCAATGTTTCCGGATTCTTGATGGTTTCTTATCGTCCGTTCTTGGGGAGTGCAACTGGAAAATCAGAGAAAACTGGAAGGGCAAAATATCGTCTTGCCTAGGGGCCAGCGATGCTAGTTATACTGGGAAAATTAATAATGAATGCAACAATTTGCTATAGTAAATGGGGAAAGGCATAAATAAATAGAAGAGGGCTACCGTGAATATAGAAAATAAGAATAAAAAGTGTTTTTTGTTATTATTATTATTTTTGTTTTTTTAACAATAAACAAATTTTCTAAGGAGGACTCAAGAGGAGGCAAGTAGACCTAGATACTTACCAAGTCGTTGCTTGAATGACGCTTTGCTTGTTAAAGAGATTATCTCTTCTGGTAATGCGTTCCGGTGAGTAATTACCCTGAAGGTAAAGAAGGATGTGCGAAATGTGGTTCGGGGTTGAGGTTTGTATGGCTTTTTGCTATTGCCCCGTGTTCCACCCGTGGGGGCTAGAGTGAAGAACGTATCTACTACGCCCGAGGAGAACAGATGGTATAGAAGAAATAAGTCACTCCTGATTCGCCTGACTTGCAGAGGATACAGATCAAGCTCCACCAAGCGTTAAGGTTAGAGAAGGTGTTGCAATCCAACCACCGTTTTTGTTGCCGCTGTTTGAACTCGTTCAAGAGCATCACGATCACATATCAGGCCGGAGTGAACAACTTGACTACCATATTCTAGGAGAGGACGGATTTAGGTGCCAAAAATAAAGGGCAAGTCTTTCTTGGGGATATGGGGGAAAGACCTTCGAAAAAGGTGAAGAATACGGAGCGCAGATTTGCTGGCTAACTGGTTATGATGCAAAGCCTAGGACCTTGTGCAACCTGGTATGCTGAAGAGGCTGCGTACCTTTTATATGAAACAAGACGGGAGTGGAGTTCCCAAAAGTCATGCTTACACACTTGTCATCATTGATGGGCAGATTCCATTCAACGGACCAATGTTTAACAGCATCGATAAATGTCTGTAGCATGCGGGTATCAGTGCTCCAGATAGTGGCATCATCTGCGTACATAGCTACGTTCGCAGGCAATGCGTTGGGTAGATCGTTAATATAGATAAGGAAGAGAAGAGGGCCGAGAACAGATCCCTGGGGGACTCCGGTTGTAATAATACTTGGTTCGGATACTGTACCGTTAACCCTTACCCTAAAAGTGCGATGAGAGAGAAAGCTGCTAATAAGTGATAGAAAAGGATCAACGATTCCGCAGACCCCTAGCTTGTGTATGAGTGGGACGTATGGGACCTTGTCGAAGGCTTTGACAAAATTACGTATACGGCGTACGAGATTTGGCCTTCATCATAAGCCTTTGTTAAACTATCCATGACAGTCAGCACATTGGTGATGCAAGATCTGCCTGGCAGAAACCTGTACTGAAAGGTTGAAAGTAAATTATTGACGCAGAGGTGCTTCAAGATGGCCTCTTTTAGCATGCGCTCTAGAATTTTGCTAGGGACGTTAGTCAGGGAGATAGGACGGTAGCTTACTGGAAGTAATCTTCTACCTTTTTTGTAGATGGGGGAGAGAACTTTCCAGCGAGAAGGGAATATTCCCTCATCCATACAGTTGGAAGAGTCGGGTGTATGGGCCAGCTGAGATATCCGCCGATTCGTTAGGAATTCTAGGGTGTAGTTTGTCAGGCTCCATGGCGCAGAAAGGGTTGAGGTTCCGTAGTTTTTTCTCTACGTCTAACTGTGAGAAAATAATACGGCTGAACGTAGAGTTTATCAGAAAGAGTTGTAGTATCGGATAGGTAGTGACGGGAGTGGAACTGAAGATGATCTGGTAGTGCTTTTTAAATTCGCCTACAATCTGCGAGGGGGCAGTTACTTCTGTACCATCTGGTAACTTGAGGGCGAGAGGGGGGGGGTTGAGATGTCGTCGGATATACTTGTAGAGGAACGGTCTGCTTTTTGAGCTCGTTTAAGTATAGCTCTTTGAGTGCGCAGCTTATAATCTCTGATATTTGAGCGGCAGATGTTCCTGAGCCTTTTGAGACTAGTCCATCAGCTTCGAGTCTCGTTTGTTTGTATCTTGCAAACAGTCTAGACCACTCATCTGAAAGCCTGCGGATGGACCGAGAGAGGTGGTTTGGAACTAGGGCGTGCGAGAACTCGGGGGACGAATCGCTCGTCACGTGAAGTGACAATTTGTTCTATATGTTGTGCAAGATTGTCTACGGGCAGGTCTAGGAGAAGACCATTAAACTGTGCCCTAAGAAACACTCTGAGGGACCGAAATTAGCACGCTTGCAGGATCTGACCATTTGTAGACCTTTTATTTTGGTTTTCCAGTCCGTAATGTAGTCAAATAGCAGGACTACGTGGTCACTCTTTCCGAGTGGTGAAAGGAGATGTACCACATCGATCTGATTTTCTTCATTGGTTATATCCAGATTTAACAATGAAGGGGCCTGGCCCGGGCGGAACCTTCTAGGTTGATCTACGTGTTGAGTCCAGGAGTTTTCTAGTACTAGATCAATAAGGGGACGGCCAAAAGAAAGGTGTGAATAGTATGCTCTGAGCCAATCAAGACCCGGGGCATTGAAGTCACCAGTGATTAGAAGGTGAGTGAAAGAATGGGTGCCACTTAGTGACTTTAACTGGTCGATTTGTAGTTAGCTTTCGAGGGGGGAACTCTACGGTACACGACTCCAAGTAGGAGTGAGACAGACCTTGAGAGTATGAGTTTAACCCATAGAGTATTTATTGGGTCGACTGAAATAAGAAATGGAGGAGGGAGGGTGCAAATAAAATAGGCTATGACCCCACCTGCTCTGCTCCGAGCTGAGTCTGCTCTTATCAATGTAAAGCCGGGAATGGAGATCTCACCGTCCGGAACATTGCCGTTCAGCCAGGTCTCAGTGAGGGTGATAACATGGGGTTGTTGCTCTAAAGTAAGTTGCTTTAATTTGAGAACTTTGTTTGGGAGGCTAAGACAGTTGGTAGAAATGCTTTTAAGTATGCATCCATCACCGTTCTTGAGCTTGCTAGGGAGAGAGGCGGGACCGGGNAGTCGGAAGGGGCGTTCATGGTGGTCGACGTATATTTTAAGCTTACGTTGGTCGGAGGGCTATATTGGGAGGGTATCTCACCATCGCCGCTTTAGCGGTGTGTTCCGACGCACCTGATTGCGAATGGGAGGATCCCAGAGGAGTCTGCTTTTAGTGTTCGATGGGGCTGGGTTGCAAAGCAGGCAGGGTTTAGTCAGCTTTTTGCTTTTCAACTTCTTTTGCCTCCTATTCGCAGGTGCCTCGATTGAAATCCGGTCCTGTTCTGTGAAACTGTTGTTTGCTGAGCTGGCCGCCATTGGTTTGAGGCAGACCACAGTCTCGTCTAAGGGTCTGGGGTCTGGGGAACAGGGTTGGGACTTGAAAACTTTTGAGTCCAACCAAACTGCTGAGACGAAGGTGCTTCTCAATAGTTCGGTGTCTCTGGGGTCAAATTTTGGGCCTTTTAGCATCTGCTGTGAGAGTCTCACGTGCAAAGATTTGTCTATGGAGACACCCCTAAGGCCTAATAAGGAGCGTTTTAGGGTGGGTGCTCGGGTGAGAATATTATTGGCGAGCTTGGAAGACCCCAATTCGACAAGAAAGCCCAAACGTCTCCGTGAACCTTTGGCGATTAGCCAAGTACAGCTGATGGGTTTGTACTTATGCGGTTCTAGAAGGCTGAATATATGCTTACATATACTTTCCAGAGTGTCAGACGCAGAGAAACGCCTCCAAAATATAACCCGCTTGGCACATAGTTCGCTATCCTTTAGTTTCTTTGCGGCATCCAGTATTTCTTGCTGCGAAAGCTTAATAGCCGTGTTCGCAGCGCAGGTTGTTGGGACAGATGTTAGAAGCAGAGCTTGTAAGTTGGCGAGTTGGTCACCAAATATACTCAGCCTAGCTGTAAGGTCTTTTATTTCTAAGACTTGCTTGTGAATAAGCTCTATCAGATCGGCCGGAGAATCCTCCAAACTCAGGGTAGCCTCGTCTTGACGCATTGGTAAGGTATCTTTGTCTAGAGACAGAGCAAGCTGATGAAAGGATAACATATCTAAAAGTTCAGTAGGAATAGTAAATTTCTCTAATTTCAGAAAGGTAATTTGAGAATAATGGGGGATATAGACTACCGATAAATTGGACAGCAACGTAGGATCAAATTTCGAACGTACCGCATGAGGTCAAGGACTTGATGTCCAATACTACTTCTACTACTATTTTACCATGGCTTCTATTGGTATAACCGCTACTACTTGCACCACTCATACTATTATTACCAACAACACAACTGCTACTACCAAAACTGCGACTACTAATACTATTACGAATGAAGGTACTTCTACAAACTGAAGTCATCTTTAGTGATAACGGAAGTAAATGCAGAGGTGCACATGCACAGTTGCGGCAATGTACTCAAGGTATGTCTCATGCTAAGATTCAACACTTCCTAGTGAATCGCGAAATACATTGGCACTTTGGACCACCCGATGCCAGTCACTGGGAAGGTGTTTGGGAAAAAATGATTAGAACCGTTAGAAAGATATTTCGGGCGATATCTCACAGCCAAAGAATGACAGATGAAACGTTACTTACATTTTTTGCTGAGGTAGAAAAATTGTAAACAATCGTCCGCTAACTCCGATATCCGATGATGTTAGGGAGTTGGAAGTTCTCACTCCAAATAAGTTGTTATTACTTAGAAATAGTGAAACAGTGATAGATCATTTGAAATTTCCGCAAGCTTGCATTCACCGAAGAGTTCAGGTATTGGTTAGTACCTTTTGGAAACGATGGAAGTCTTAATATTTGGCATCTTTGCAAGGAAGGCACAAATGGCAGGAAGAGGGGAGAGAGTTGAAGGCGGGAGACCTGGTGCCTGTGACCACTGAAGGTGTCCATATAAATTGCTGGCCGTTGGGAGTTGTTAATGAGGTTCTTCCCAGTAAAGATGGTTTGATAAGGGAAGTATTGGTTCGCACATCTCATGGGACTCTGCGACGTGATTTACGCAAGTTATGTTGGTTAGAAGGTGATGACGGTTAAAGGAATGGTCCTTTTTCAATTGTGCTATGATTGTTTTTTCGATGGTTATCCTCTGTAAGCTTTTATTGTTTAGGTTACTTAATATACTTTGTTGATGACTTATGTTTTGATAAGAGTCACTTGTGCGACCTGCCTTCGTTCATATGACCATGCACCTTTAGGACTAGAATCGGTTCGTTGATAGATGAAACAGATGTCGTCTTCACAGTCAGTTCCCTTGTTATCTGTTCATGGCCCGTTTAGCGGAATGTTTGAGTAATCAATAAAAACATTACAGGAATGTTTTGGATGATGACCGAGAATCAGCCTCATTTAAAAACATACATGATGGTGACTTGCCATAGGGATTGGACCGGGGCACATACTCGATCTTGTTACATCAAGCCCATATAAATGTTGGTCCACAATGATAAATACGGCATCAATATTGGGTGCGATGTTATTTTGGGAGCTCTCACGGATTGGATGTGGTGAAATCTCGTAAAGCCGTTGGTTCATGCTGTTACGTCCGCCCTTTAGGAACTGTCTTACACGCGTATCGTTCAACTGAACAACTTGGTGATCCCGAAATTTGTACGATTCTTTATCGTAAACCCCACGATCAACCAAAACACCTAATAATAATGAACACAACGAACACCGCTCAATAGTGAAATCACGTAAAATACGCTATCCGAAAGTGTACGGTGATACAATAAATTTCGTATGCATACTTGACCGTGATCCTCAGTAGGCGAACCGGAAGATGATAGACGAACACGTGGAGTGTTAATGCTCAACCGAGCGGAAACAAACACGAATCGAAACCGTTATGTTTTACAGGAATAATGATAAATGGTACAGATTAACAAAGGTCAGATTAAAGGAGAGAAGAGAGAATGCCACTCACAAGATTTATCTGAGTCATCAAATGTTGTTTTCATCATCATCTACGGTGCTCCAGCCGCCGTAACACTCCCCTCCGATAAGCCACTCGGCTTTAACGTTATTAAACATCCGTTGTACAACTTTAGTTGTTTGTAAGCACTTTAAAACCACATCTAACACAAGAACACATGGCGAATAAATATCTGCAAAGAATAACTTTAGTGTGATTGATAAGAGTCAACTCGTGTGGAACCATAACTCGAACCTGACCAGCGCTTCCTCGTTGTACATACTTTCATCTACCAGATGATTCTTTTCTCGTCAGCCCCATGAAACCCGGTTCTAACGTTCAAAGAGAAAGTTGATTCCTTGATCACGAGTATAGATTCACTGGC